TATTACTTCAAATACATTGTTCATCAAATTTTCGAACAAATTCATCACGTAAAACAAGTGTAACATCATATCTTTATTCAAGTATATATAAAAATCGTCGTAATAAAAATAATTCAATTAATAATCAACAACAATATTCTTCTAATCATTATCATCAAAAATTGAATTTAACACGTCTAAGTCTTGATAGTGATAATCGAGATCTTGTTACTGTTGGTAATAATGAAGAAATATTTATTCCAACATTTCAAGTATTAAATGAAGAAGAAAATGAAAATATTGTTCAATAAACATTTTTTGTTTTTGACATTTGTTTCATATTGTATTTCCTTTTTCTTTTTTTTTTTGTTCTCACAAAAAAATAAAATAATAAATGAAAATTATATATAGAGATTCACTTTATTTGTTGTTGCATGCAATTGAATGTCATGAAACATTTTTGTTTTTCAAAAAGAAAAAGAAAGACTATAAAGTTTTTTTCCTGAGTTTTAAAATTTAATAGGATTTGATTCAGTTATTTTCTTGTTTTTTTTCGATATTATTCAATGTTTTCTTCTTTCTAATATGGAAACAAAATAGAGAAAATATTAGTATAGTAGTCACCAGCAGAAATTCTTGTCGACATTGAACTGATGAATTGTCATACTATCTTATCTATGAATAGTAAGATTTGACGTAGTCAACTTTCAGTAAAGTTTCATTAAATATCGCTTATGAGGTTATAAGACATACTGATCGATCAGAAATCTGTATCGATATCAGTTCTATCTCTAGTCATTAGTCAGCATTAAAGATGGAAATAGCCTTGAATAGTGGCGTAACTAGGATTTTGGCGGTGGTAGAGCTTAGCGTCGCTTAAATATCTGGTGATTGGGCTCAGGAGAATGAGGTCTGTGTGGTGGTAGGGCTGATAAGAGAATTTAGCTGACGAAGTTGACGTCGGTGGTTGGGCGGAGTCCAACCTAGCCCTACCCTGGTTACGCCACTAGCCTTGAATCATACAAATGTTTAAGAATAAAATGAATTTGTATTTTTAGAATAGGACGATTTCTACGTAAATCAACATAAAACCAGATAAATTTTGGATTAAATTAAAATGAAATATGATTTCAACAATAAAACAAGTCTTAACTCTATGCAATCATTAATAATAACTATTTGAACATTGAATTCAATTCAATTTGTCGTTTATAGAAAAACTATAGATCGCGTGACATCAAAAAAATTCTTTACATACTATGTGTAGAGAACTTTCCAAGTTATCGATTGGTAAAAGAATGTTTTGTATTCTTTCTCTTTGTCTAAGATATACAACTTACAAAAGAAATGATTATGAGATTATTAAAAAAAAAAAAGAACCTCTTCTTTTTATGATGAAGTGCTACGTCATAAATATCAACGAAATTCGTTGTTATTGAATAAAATACGTTTAAAAATTTTCACATGAATTAGTTGAACAAGAGATGATATGACATCAAATGACAACTGGAATTGTCATGAAGAAAAAAAAACAGATTTAGAGATACTTGTTAAGATTTATGCATAGATACGTAAAGAGACTGCTGTTATTTATAAATACGAGCGACATTTGTTGTTATATGAATGTTTGACGTAAGTGTGGGGTGTCAGTATCTCACAAGGAAAGACTCAAATCAAGTCCACACACACACCCTAATTCTTCTAAAACTTGTCATATTTGAAGTTGAAGAAGAATAAATCAATATTTAATTATATTGTTTACTTGATGATTTAATTATTTCGACAAAAATAAATTTCATGTACTCAAAAAATTGTTTTAGATGTACATATGTTGTAGAAGAAAAATATATATATATATATATTGTATTTTTAGGAAATGAACAAGCTACTCATAAAAGATTATAAACAATTTCGATTATTGTTATCTCCCTTTCAATGTCTAGTGCATTTGGTTGGGAGAGAACGGGTTAACAATTAATACTAGTATTGGTTATAAGAATGCTCGAAAAATAAATTAAGCCATTTAAATTATAGAGTTATAGAACATCTAAATGAAGATATCAGCACTATAATTTCATATATTTTATTCATATTGGAATACTAATATTTGTTTAGGTTAAAACAAAATTTTCATTATTTGTACAATAATGAACTATCTTGATTAGACTTATTACATTAAACTACTTCAATGTTACTGAAGCTAATAATTTGGTTTTAAACTCATTTCAAAATTTACGTCCTTATAATTAAGATTCAATAAAATAAAACTGATTTTATAAAATTCTAAATAACAAAAGATTATATAATTTACTATATCCTGAATTACTGCAGTTACACTCTGAAATAAATACCTATTATCAGAAACTTTTACATTTAAGTATTTGTCTCAGTATGAATATTGTTATGATGACTGACTTGAAACGTAAAGAAAAATTATTGAAGTTCGAAAAAAACAAAATAATTTTTTTTCAAAAAATTCGATTAAATAACTATTGCACAAATAATAATATTATAAGTTTGTGAGCAAGAATACACATTCAATCACAAAACTATGATTGTCATGATTATGATTAAAACTAGACGAAATTTTTGCAAATCATTCTAATAACAATATCTATGGATCATTCGATATGAATATAAAATCTTCACTGAGATCAAAATTTCTTTTCATACTTTCTTTCACAAAACGAAAGAAAAAAAAACCAGTAACTATTGACATATGCTTTGATTTATTTTGAATATATCATATATATTTAAAAAATATCACTAACATCTTCATGTAAGCAACTAGCTAATATGAAGAAATAATTAATAATAATATTCATTCATTAATTGATCGATTAAATAATTTAACTAAAGACAAATTTACAAATTGAAAAAGAAATTATTAATCGATAAATTATATCAATACCAACACACAAGTCATCAAATTATTGATGATTATTATTATGAAAAAATTCAACAAATTAAAAACTTAATTTCATATATTGAAAAAAAAAACATCTAAATCATCATTAATTGATCTTAAAAAACACCTAAACGAGAATATATCAAATTAAATTTGATATATCTCAAATGACTATTGATGGAAAATTTATATTATTACAAAATATAATATATTCATTAGATTTATACGAATATGATACTTTAGTATTACATCATCAAATATCTTGGTCATCAAGAAATTTATCTGATATTATTGATCAAATCGTTTTAAATAATTTTTAATATTAACATATATATTCTTAATAAAGATTTTCGTATAATAACATGTAATGATGATCATAATGAATTATTTATAGATACTTCAACATCAATTGAAGAATATTCTCTTTTAACATTTAATTTTTTCTAAATATTATAAAATAAATGAAGAAAATACGATTTAATTCAAATCTAAATCAATTTGATTTAATAATTCGAACATATTCATAAATATAAATAGTATTTTGAAATAAGAAATCGTTTAATGATATGTCTTTGATCAATTTTAATACTAATTGAATATACGTTTCATGTTTATTATCAATTTTATTTAATTATTATTAATATTCATAATGATATTCTTTTTCAAATAACAAAATAATGATCAAATAAAAGCTGAAATTATTTATATCAAAAACATTGAGATTTATTGAATTTATGATTAAGTTTAAGCGTTTTATATGAAGTTTATTAAATCAGTCGAAGTCAAAAAAAAATTATTTAATAATTGAATTAACATGTTTTCGAGTTTTTCTAGATAATAGCAAATCTCATTTGCATGTGTTCGATAATAAAGATTATTTTGACTTATCGAATTGAATGAATTTTGTATTCTATATATCTTTCCCATTATTGATAGATTTTGTTCGATTTATTCAATGACAGTAGTTCTATAAGATGGAAGCGAAAAAATAATATATAAATATCAGAAATCTCAATAAACGAATCTTAAAATAAATATAAAATTTTTTGGGTATTTTCCTAAAATTTTCTTCGTTATCGTCACCATTAAAAATCTTTATATTCAATAAATCATTTTTGGTTAGCTACCTTCATTCAGTAATAATTATTTTTTCTAATTCTATTCCTATTAAACTTTATTGATCATCAAACTTCCTTCAACTATATCAGTGTTATATTGAGAATCAAAAAGGCAAACACATATTTATGTTAGAAAATTTTGATGAATTTGAGAGCATTGAAATTATTGTAAGTTGTTATTAATGTTACAAAACATTTGTTTATAAGTTAACTATCAGTACTTAAAATATCCTTACTCATTCAAATCTTAAAAGAGCTGATCCGATGCAATTAGATGAGTAGTTCATAGGCAAGTGAATCTTTTTTAAAGACACTATAAGGCTATGCCGGATAAAAGATTGATCATCCATATAGGCCAACTATCTTCGATTTATTTGAAACGCATTGAAACCTCTGATAACAACGAATAATATAATTTTCTTTCAAACTCACTGAAATGTATAATTTTTGTTAAATGACTTTTTATTTATATTTGATATTTTTTTAGAACTAATAATGTTCATCATTGAATTATAAGATGGTCAAAAATTCTAAAAATATGTTTTCTTTTGAAAAATTACCCACATATTTGTTGATCTTCGATGACGATTCAAAAAATTCAATTGCATAGCCTCAATAATGAAGTTAATCTGCTCAAATAATTCTTAGAAGATTTCTTAAATTTTCAAAAAGATTAATACTAAAGAAGTACAAATATTTAATGTTTTTCTTTTTTTGTTTATTACGATTATCATTTTCTATTGAATACAATATACTGATGAAAAAAAAACTCATTTTTCAATTCATTAAGATTACATTAGAACAAAATTATCTTCGATAATTTCAATTTTTTTTTTAATAAAGACGAATAATAAATCCGATATTTGGCGATATCTATGATAAATAATAGTCAATAAGATATCTTTGATTTGCCGATATTTTAATCAGACTATTAATATATATTAAAGAATTCATTTATTTATTTATTTAAATTTAAGATATAAAAATTTAAACTAATGTCTAATTTAATATTATTTTCAAATAAACAACAAAAAAAAAAACATTCATTTATATGTTCAAAAAATATATCAAATTCAAAATTAACTATAAATCAAAATGTAACATGTAAAAAATATTTTGAAAAATTCAACAATTGTAAATATTCATCATTACAACAAAAGAATTACGTAGATAAAATTATTAAGAAAAAACAACAAACATTACATTCAAATTTAAATCAAAATGTTCTTATTAAATATTTAAAAAAACCTAAATTTCAAAAATTTACATATCAACAAATATTTACTTCAAAGTTAGCGGGTTTTTTTTTTAATATTAATTAAAAAAATTTTTTATTCATTAAATATTTAAGAAAACATCAAGAATTCAAACAATCAAATATAAAAAATATGATAGAAAATAATCAAAATCTATCAGAACATATTCTAATATCTCATGAAAATAAACAAATAAATAATGAGAAAAACATAAATGTTGAACGAAAAGGTATTTATTTTTCTTGAAAGATACTTTCATTATTATCATAAGTTTCAAAGAAAATAATATATTATATTTCATAGTTTTTTAATTTAACGGGTGACCCATAATAAATAGCCACATTTTGCATTGCATATTTTTATTTCAAAATATACCACGAGATGCAGCATGAAAAGCTCTACAATTTACATAAGATCGCTTATTTTATAGTTGCATTTTTTATTTTCAAAATGGGCAAAATTTTGAGCGATCAAATTTCGATTGATCACACAGAATTTTTCTTTTTTTGAAAGCAATTACACTAAGCTTTACTATGTAAATTGGAGGATGTGCATCTCTAAAGGAGATGATACATCTCCAGTGGAAAATGACCGTGTCTTCTGAAGGAGATTCCGCGTCTCGGGCGGGAGATGCGGCATCTCCTGCGAGAGATGTGGGTGCATCTCCAAAATTTTGGATATGTGACACTACTCTTTTTTTTTGCAAAGGTTTTAAATGTAATAATTATTCAATTTTAGCTATATGTACAAAGGACAAAGAATCAATGATTATTTCATGTCTTCCATTATCTTCATCAGTATCTCAATTTGATTCATCAACTTCTGTATGTGATATAAAACCATTACTATCATTTCCTATTCAATCATCAATTTATATTAATGAAGAATATGTAACACGTGTACATCATATTATTGCATCATGGAATAATCATGATAATGAATTAAAATCAATACAAAATATCAATTCTATGTCAACAAATTTATCTAAGTAAAATTCATTTTTTTTTTTTTTTTTTGTTAATGTATTATTTCACTATTACAGTATTGATGATGATATCAATGATCATAAAATAAGTTCTAAACAATCTACTTTAAATATTCATAACAATTCAAAAGTTGAATTATCCAACAATTATAAATTAATGGACAATGAAATCTATCCTTGTGAATTCAAATCAATGATTAATAATTCTCATATTCATCATCAATATCCTCAGTCTAAATTTATACATCATCATATAGAAAAATCTCAATCATCCATACTTTCAGATCTACTCGATTGTTGTGATCCGTAAGATTTTAGACTTCTTCTTCTTTTTTTTTTAATTTCTTATTTATTACATAGTAATCAACGATTACAATCAACATCAAGTGAAAATAATTCTGATTATTGGGATAGTTTTCATACTTCAACAATGTTACGTGAAGTAATGATTAATATATCAAAAAGATTAATAATAACTACAGCATTACCAATGGTTGATACTCATTGCCATTTTGATCTAATATTTGATCGGTATATTACACTAATAGATAAATTGATTAAGACCTAATATTTTTTCTGAGGGAATCACCAACATGCCATTGTACTAGAGCCCATCGAAGTGATGCCACACTCAGACTTGCTGCACTCGGAAACCAATATAAACTTATTGTCAGATCCTTTGATAGATTGACTGATAACCTCTAAAACATAACTCTAATAAATATTTCAAAGTTCGATTTAAAATTAATATTTAATCAATCGAAATATAAATAAATATTATATATATATATTTTTAGTCTTTATATCAAACATAATAATCTAAAAAAATATTTTGATGATTATAAAGATTTATATCCATCTGGTCTTTCATTTGAATTAGCTATTCAAGTTTTTTGGCGACCAAGACATTTAAATGAAAGTAAAAAAAATTTTTTTTTTTTTTTGTTCTTTTAGTTTAATTTTAATATTTTACAAAAAAAAATAAATAGAAAATTGGATAAATTGGTATTCAACATATTTAAATGATCAACGTATTTATGGTTCATGTGGTATTCATCCACATTGGAGTTCATCATGGAATGAAACATCTATTGAAGATATTGAACGATGTCTTAAACATCCAAAAATAGTTGCTATTGGAGAAATCGGATTAGATTTTGGACCTAAGTATAAATATTATTTAATTATAAATTTTTTGAATTTTTTTTGATTAATATTTATTATAAAGAAATACATGTAATAAAGAACAACAATGTCGAGTATTTGAAGAACAACTTAAATTAGCTGTAAAATGGTTAAAACCAATTGTTATACATTCAAGAGATGCTTATGAAGAAACATTTCATATAATGAAACAAGTAAATAAAATATTTACTATTTAAAATAATAATTTAATTCAATTGATTAAGATCATTTATATTTTCTTATTTAATTTTATTAAAACATTCTCATCTAAATAACAAATGTATTTCGTAGAGCTTGAAGGAAAAAATAAATCTTTTGATTAATAAACTAGAAAGACAAAAAAAAAATAGAAATTTTTAGATCTTTATTTGAAAAAGTATTCTATCATGAGATAAATATTTGAAATATTTTAATAGTTCCATATGAATTTTAAGTTTGTTTTTTTTACTTTCTTAGTATCTTGAACCTCATCATAAAATTCATTTACATTGTTTTGTTGGAACAATCGATGATGTTCATTTGTTTACATCTTATTTTACTGAAATTAAATTTGGTTTTACTCCAATTATATCTCGTGGAAATTTTCTTCATACTGTTATTCAACAACTTGATTTAAAACAAATTTTATCAGAAACTGATTCACCTTATTTTGTACCTGAAGAAGTATTTTGTTTTTTATTTGAAAAAAGTAAATTCATGTAATAGATTTTTTTTTAAGCTTTTCAATCTTTCACGTTGTGCTCATCCAAGTATGGTCTATAGTGTTATTGAAACTGTAGCACAAATTCGACAATTATCTATTCATGATGTTGCTTGTCAATTAAGAGAAAATGCTTATCATATTTATGGTGTTTGAATGATTGATTTGAATTTTTGTTTTTCGTGTTTTCATTGTATATGCAAACCTATTTTGTTAGTTTTGAAATTATTTAGTTTTTGTTTACTATCTGAATTCTGTTTATACATTTTTTTTTTCATATTATATTGTTTATTTTGCTGAACTGTAGCTTTTGTTTTTGAAATAAAATCCTTCTAGTTGTTTCTATTATTAATCATATACATATATCAAATGGCTAGATATGAATAACTCAAAAAAGATAACGTACGAACACGAACCCTTCTAGGCTTCTTCTAGTATCATCGGACTCTGCAAACTGATGTAGAATGTATTAAAAAACGGCGCGTAACCCTTGGATATCAACTCTTGTAAGACTTTTGATTGTTATTTACGTAGCAGCAACAATTTTTTTTTCTTCGCCACACCTGCAGTTGTCTTTCACCTTTGAATGACATATGTCAGACTTAAAATGACGTTTCTTTATTCTTTGCCAGCACATTTTCACCGATAGAATAGACAACTCATACATTATTTTTTTGCTTTTCAAAGCTTCCACAAACTTCTATTTATTCACTCTTCCAATGTCTGGAGTGAAAAACCTTGCTAGTGTGGCTTCATGAGAATCAAAAGAGAAAAATTCATGACCTTTAACTAATTTGAATTTTTTAATATATTGTTAAAAGAATACGAAATTTTTAATTTTAATAAAAATTTCAAACAATGGAATAAGTAAAAATCTGAACAAATTTTTATAGTTGATTAGTGTGCTTTGAAATTTTTATCAATTTGAAAATGTTTACATTTTAAATTACTATTATACTAATTTATTTGATTTATTTAACAGCCTTATAAACTGAAAAATTCATTTCTATCAGCAGATACATTTTCAATAAACAACTTATTTTCTTTCAATGGTTTTTTCTTAAGTTACGATTCAATCGGTTCATGTTGTTCTATTCGGGTTCTATTCTGACCCTGACACATCAATAATTTCGCCACCTTATTGGTTGAGACTTACAGTAAGATCATGTCGTCACATTAAATACCAAAACTTGCAATGTTTAGATTAGTTAGAATCAACAGTAAAAGTCTTAGGTTCATAAAATTCTTTGGAACATTCGAAAAAGCTCTGAAATGATCTAAGAGTTGCCATTACTGACGCACCACTATTCCATCCCTAGGCAGTAGTATTCATAGATAGAGTCGGTCTGAATAGATAGATCAGAGTAGACCGATTGATCTTTCGGTAATAAGCGATCGATGAATAATTCATGAATACTAGAAAAAAGCCAATTTTTTATATTGAAAGTATAATTATGGGTGAGGATTAGTTGGTTATCCTCACACAGAATGAGCTACAGCCGCAGACACATCGAAATTCACACCAACGCCCACACCTACTGCGTAGCCATGTTTCTGCAATATAATTAATGATTATTGCCAGAACTTCTCTGAGGCAACCGAATACGACAGTGTGGATCTATCCCATGGCTTGTCGCATACTTAACTATAAAAGTTTCTTCTAAATACTTGTGTTGATATTAGAATAGAAACAAATATTAAATGTACTATTCAATTGAGTTTGTAATAGTTTATTTCTCTGTCAAAAAAATATGATAATAAAAATGTCAACTGTTATATTTTTAGTTGTATCTAAAGGTGATCGATAAAATAAAGTGAAAAAAAAACTTGTCAGTCGAAAGTAGTTTCATAGTCTAAAGCTGTTATCATAATTACGTATTGTAGATTGTGCACACATCAGCGGATGTCAGTTCTCGACTGTATACCCTAAAGTCATCAATAGCACCAGTAAATGGGATGGTAGAATTTAATATTCCTTGTTGACATTCTTCTGAACTAGAGAGACTACTAGCTAGAGTCACGTACATGGATGACGTATCGTTTGCCATAAATGAAGTCGCTGTGGACAGAGATTTCATAGCAGTGTTCACATAGAGCTTTAAACCGTTTGTTGGACTCCATGTTTGTACAACATGATACCAAGCATTCATAGAAATATTGGATCCCAATAATGATAGAATGGTGCCATTATACATTTGCGCTACGACTGTTGCGTTAGCAGTAAGACCGAGAAATGGCACACACCAACCAGTACCGTTTGATGCACTCGAAACATGAACAAGTGTGCCTGATATTGATTGAGGATATATCCAAAGAGATATAGAGAACGGATGGTTAGATATGCCAAGTGCAGTAAAGTCTGATGCTTGAAAATATGAATTGTTAGAGCCACTGAATGAAATTGCTTGAGAAGATGAATGGCCCGATATTATAGAGTAAGCTGAGGCAGTAGCTGATATTGAAAATGGTCCAATGTCAAGGAATGGTAACACACCATTATCGAATGTGAACCAGGCTGCGAGTGTAGCTTCTTCAAGAATTTCACAAGAAGATTTGACTCGATTGGTGACTGACAACTGATCTATGTAGCCCTATAAGTAATGAGAAATCATGAATATATGATCAATATAGAACACAATATCAGTATTTCTTACATTTCACTAATGAATACATTAAACTTTGAAATAGTAAGAACCTTGGAAAAATTCAAATATTTATCAATCATCCGAAATAGAGTTTATCGATTAAAATAAATCCTGACTATCATCAAATAGATCTCACGTTATTGTTACAATATTCGCAAAGTATTCTCTCTTAAGTATTTATTTTCTATCATTGACAATGAATTTCTCAAATATTGATAATTTGACTCTAAAATTTTGATGAAATATTTGAACTCAAATAATTGTCAAATTTTGATTGCAACTTTCAAAATAGATTTTCTCATTGAGTGTCTAATTTTTTTTTCATACATTAATCAATGATATATATGCGAAATATCCATACCTGGAAAGATGCGTTGGCAAGAAACATGTTTGAACTGTCACCAATAGAAAAACTATCGTTGGCCATTAGTAATGGACTTGATTTATTACGAACACTCTCGAGACTTCCATCAAGATAGATTGACTGTTGAAAATTATCAATATCATATACGAATGCAACATGAATCCATTTGTTAAGCGATATATTAGTCACTCCCGATAAATCATTATTGTAGAAGCCAAGATACAAATTATAGCTCGAGTTGTTGTTGCGAATAGTCAAATACAAACAAGTGTTGTTATCAAACGACGAACACATGGCAGCAATGATGTGGTCATTCAAGTTAGGATATTCGGTGGGATACAACCAGGCATCAATAGTAAAACTAGTATTCATCAAAGGAATATATGAAGTTGACAACGACAGATTGAAAGTGGAATTGAGCGAAAGAGCTTGTTTAATATAACCGGTAACATATGATGGAGTTTCGGCTGTAGTAGTTATGTAATTATTTGTACTATCAAGGACGGTTTCATCAAATGGCCATTGAGCAAGCAGGTTCCTCGTTGAAGCCCATGTTTTACTTACACATGAATAACCACAAGAAGATGTTGCTCTAGTAGCTGTTATTACTAAACAAAACATTTACAAGATTAATTATAAGTTACTTCCAATTTTTTTTAAGCTTTTCTCATGCCTCGAAGCTTATTTGAATAAAAGTGAATATTTCTTTTTAAGACTGAGTTAGAGTACTTTGAAAAACCGTATCGCTGATCGAAGACTAGAATTTGTTTTTCTCCGTATATGAAGTACTAAGAGATTGCTGCTGATAAGAATCATCACGATGATCTATTTTGTCATATGCATATCTTCAGTCGTATATCTTTTTCTAGATGCTTGTTCTTATACAACAATTATAGAAAGAGTTAAAGTATAGATAGTTATGCGATGAAATAGCAATAATTAGTGTTATATGTGACCAAAACTTTCATCAATCAACACAGATCGAGTCGAAGAAAAAAAAAATCATTTTCAAAATTCAATCAGTGCAATAAACACAATTCAATGTCAACTGTAAAGTCAATATTTTAATTCTGTTTCTACCACTCAACACAAGATTAATTATTTTTTGTTCTGTTTTTCATTGTTTCTCTTTCCCAACACCATTAATAATTTACGTATTTTTTCTTCAGAATAATCATTCTGCCCTGTTGTTATTTCACCTTTGATTGTCATTTTCTTTATGATTGATGCAGTCTTAGTGAGATCAATGTTTTGAGTTTCAAATATTCTAATGTGGACAGTAGATACATACTTGAAGATGAAGATAGTTAAAATTAATAAAACTAATTTCTACTTCTGAAAGCAAAGTGACACAATTCGATATAGCATCAATAACAAAAATAGTCGTGCAGTAGAAAGAAAACATTTCTATGTCATTCTTGTCAAGCGATTGAATTGACTGTTCGATCGATAGGTTGTTTTTGCAATCATTCATTGGTTGCAATTGAATCTACATTTTTTTTTTCTTGTCCTGCATTCGTTAATATTTACTCAACGGAGGCTATTGCCACTCAAGTTGTTCTGAAGGTTAACTATCGTAGGAAATTTCGCATCTATTTATCACATTTGATTACCCGTAGTTCTATGTAGTTTATGTTCACATCTCAAGTCGTATCATCTTCTTTTTAACTTTTTCAATTAGTGAGTAGAAAATTTCTCTTTAGATTAAATTGGCGTTTCTGGAAAAAAGATCGATCTCTTAGGGAATTACGCAAAAGAAAATAAAAACACTTTAATCAAATTAAAAATATTACCAACACTCTCCAACAAGAAATTTTTAATACCTTTTCAAAGTGAGAAGATATCAACATTTTCTTGAAGAACATATAGCAAAAAAGAAGAGGCTTATTAAACTGAGAAAACTATGTAATGTAGTCGAAATGTCACGATTTAATGGTATAACATATGAATACTTGCCACAATAATTATTCACACAACAGTAACTAAAAAATATGCTTCGAAATATACTTCATTTTGACATCTTCTGATGGGACGAACATTGAATATGGTAGTTAACACAATCAATAAAAAAAAAACATTTCCAGTGTTTCTATGAAATCTGTCATAAGAAAGCCAAATTATTCTAAGTTTTCTGTATAACTTCAATAACTCAGTGAAAGATAACGTTTACGATGAATTCATTGGAAATTCAAGCAAATCTCGTAAATGTCTTATTGTCTAGTAGATGACTACATAGATATTCGCCGCTAAGAAGCATGTCAAATGAAAAGGATGTACTTCATTCATTTGATATCATTAAAAAATATAAACATCTAGCGATGAAAATATTGATTCTTTACCTATGCAGGAATTCTGAAAATCCCTGTTTTAATCAAATCTTATGCTTCACACGCATATTTTATTTATACTCCTTTTTAAAACATGGTTTGTCTATATGACTTATTTTTTTATAACTAGATTCAAGACTCAACTAAACTAATGTATCTCAATACTACTTGACAGCAGTAATTTTTAATTATACGAAGAACATTTAGTGAGTAATTTCATACGTGTAGAAGTTGTAGTTGATGTCGTTGTGGTGGTTGTTATTTGTGGCGTTGTTGTTAATGAGAGCCAGTAGGTAAGGGCTGTAGCCAATGCTATTCCACCGAGTAATGCACCAATGATACAACCAATCACAACAGGTATCCATGAAAAAGTAGATTTTTGTTGAGCACTTTTTAATCTATAACCAGACATATTTCAAAAAAGTAACTATCATATTCTTTTTACCCTTCCATTTGTGTTTCATTCATGGAAACATTCTTGTCGTTAATTTTCGTAAATGACTGAGATCGTGGTAACTTAAGCACTGGTCCAGATAACCAACCACTGAGAAAAGGATAGGTTTTTGTCGTTGTTTGTACGGTGGCCATCTGTAGCTTTCAGTTGAAATTTGAACTTTTATTAATGCAATGGATATTGTAAAAATCAATCAATTTATATGCGTTTCAAATATAATTCTTTTTCTCCTATGTGTAGGAGCAGCATGCACATGAATGCATCAATTTTTTTTAATTGAAATTTCTCTTGCAATGCACAAGAGGAGCATAAAGACATATTGATGCCATATAGTATATGATTTTGGAGTCAACTCGTTTCTCACTTAATCATTCATCACTTCTTAAAAAAATAATAAACATTGTTATTAAAAAATGGATGTAGAAAATGTGTGCAGTTTCAAATCCAAAAAAAGAACTGCATAGAATCCAAAACAAACGTCATATCTGTTGGGACACTATTAGCATCATAATATTCCAATTAGTCGACTTGATTCTGCACTTTTCGAAAACTTCACCGACAAACTAGCTCGTAAACAGATAATTATTGGGCAACAATGGTCAGATATGGAAGAAAAATCAAGACAGCTTAATCGAAAGAATATAAGTGCCTGTTTAATCCATTATCATCGTAATCAAAGCGAAACTGACTAGAATCTATTAAAGCACTTGATATGAAAGAGACTGAATGTTTCTCAGCATTCTGCCTTCTGACCAAAGGATGTTGGAGACTGCTTCAGTCATATTCACCAATTTTGATCGAGTTCTTAGCCATAAGTGAACGTAGGCGAAGCTTAAAAAACTACCATAGTCGTCCATCCCCATGAGGAATCGTTTCTGACATAAGGTGGACTTTTCCTCGAAAAAGTAACTCTTACAAATGCTAGACAAGGTGTTTACTCTGTTACCCTAGTGAGTTGACACAGGCAATTTTCTTCCGAAAAATCGCTTTATTTGAACAACAGTCTCCCCAACTTTCAAGTATTCATTTGTTCTATGGATCAAGATATACTGAAGTGCTAATTAGTTGACAACTTAGCTGTGGACACCTTTTCTTTTCTGTACATATATAAACTATGCAAAGAGTTCATTTGGGTTTGGGTGAGTATGTCAGTGTTGTTATTCTCTGCATCTACATCAAAACCCTAAACCGAAGCCACACCCACACCCACACCCACACCCACCCTTTTCATTGTTGAGTTTTTTAAGATGATGATCATTTTTTGAATATTATGTCTTGCTTTTGGTATAGAAATACACAAATCTTTTAAAAAAGAAAAAAAAAAATTTTAAATGAAACGAAACAGAAAGAGATAGTTTACTGGTTTTAATTGATATTAATCAATTAATTAGAATAATAAATGAACATGAATCAATTGAAATACTTTCTTTAAAACTTACATTAACTCGAAAAACTTTAATTAGAATTTTAAAAGGAAGAAATAAATGAAAATACTCAAAAATAAATTTACAACAAAGATTTATTTTATAAAGGATTTCAGACATTGTTGCATGAAATTGTGCAATTGATGTAAAATAATCAATTATTTCTTGAAGAATTTTATTTGAGATATAAGTTTCATGGATAAAATTACTTTTTAAATGAATATGTCAATTAATAAATATCAATTAAAATAAATAATATATTTATTTACTCGTCTAAAATAGCATCATCTAACTAGATATATTTAAAAAAGTCAATATCAACTAATGGATTTTTTCGTAAAAAACTTATATGTAATCCCTCTTAAGTGCACAAATAATTGATTATGTTTAATTTTTAATCATATTAAATAAAATTACTTGAATTGAAATATATCATTCGAAAGTCATTTATCGGAAGTTTATATTTTACATAGAAATGTTCTTCATGTATTTATTCTTTTAAAATTCAATTATTATTATGTTTAACATCGTTGAAAGTTGTTTTTTTTTTCTATCATTCATTAATAAAACTTATCTGAGAAGCAATGTGATTTTTATCTAAACATGATTTTAATATTAACTAACTGGAATCAATATTAATCAATAAACAATTTCTACTAGTTCATAATTGAAATTTCTTTTAATTCAATTGTCAAATCAAATATTTTCTGACAAGAAAGATTAATTTCCATCTGTGCATTTATATGATATCTGATCCAAAATAAAAATTCTTATTTTTTACTACTAAATAAATAGATAAACTTACTTAGAAAAATGATAATGATCGATATAGATGATTCAAAGTTATTTTTAGAAATCTAAATAAAGTTTTCGAAAATTTGATAAAGATTGGCATTATGTTCTTTTGATATACACTCACATCCTATCTATTCTACTTTATATATTACAGTCACAGTATCTAAAAATCTAAAATTAACTTTCATAAAAATATTTTTTAATCTTCTCTTTGTTTACATATCAAATGATTTTCTTGAGTATTTTTTAAACAATCATTAATACCGTACAGAAAGCGGAATACCTCTCGAAAATTTCAGTACAACATGACATGATTATCTTTTATCCAGATTTATAATTCGATCTTATGCTGCAGATCAATTTGATGTGATATTTCTCTTACATAATCTTGAATCATAATTACTTACTACGTATTATTTCGCCAATGATTGCAACTACTAGATTACGCTGAATCATTCAATAAAAACTAACCTTCATTCAAAGATGTTCATGAGGACAATAATTTCGAACGGTTTTTTTTTGAATTTAACATTAGTCTCCAACTTGTTTATTACTGAACTTTTTCAATAAATGTTGTAGTGCCCGTCAGAAACACTAGAAAAATGTGACTTGCTTCTATCCTGGAATAAAAATATAAAATCTGCTGTTTTATACGAGTGATTTAAAAGACATCCAATTATCATAGTTGTATCTCAAGATAAGAACAGCAACAAAACTTGAAACTTCTAGGATAAACTATTTTCGCTCAAACCTATCTACATAATGAACATGATCTTGACTCAAAAGTGATTGAAGAATCGATGAAATTCTTTCGTTGGAGGCATTCATAAATGAATCTGAATGGTCGTTTTTTTTTTGGATCATGCATATTTTCGACTGAATAGAATTAGAGATATTGATAGAAAATAATCAAATTGTGTTGTAGCTAAATTTTCAAGATGCCTATAAATTGTAGCTTAGTTCAGATCTTACTTAAAAGATGTTCCATTAGGTAGAATAAATTTCTCAATAAAGTTGTATAACTTACGGAGTCATAAATGATTCGGATTAGTTGAATATGCAAATAAAAATGATAATCAGACCCTGTTCTGGAGAATCACATTTTGAGGTTGATTGAAACTTGAACTAGTATTTCACGAGTTATTTTATAAATTAACTGAGATGAACAAGCACTAAAAATATTTATTATTAAATAAAGTTTATTTTTTATTATATCAATCATTACATTTGATAACTATAAATTTAATATAAACAGATATTATAGATAAAGAATTTTTTTACTTACATCTTCAACAAAGAAAAACTAAATCTATCATTATGAAATTATTCTGATGTTGATATTGATATTTTTGCATCGAATCTCAATAAATAACATTCAATTTAATGAGATCAGCTCGATAGATACAAAGTGGTGTAAAGCAAAAGGCTTTAGTCATATTGAAAATTTAAAAAACTTTCGAATTTTCTGTAATTTTCTTTTCGTGGAAGTCTGAACGTGGCTGAAGAATGATGAATAGATTCTATTTAACGATATACTTTAGAGGAAAATTTCTTTTGATACAAAAAGAAGAAAAGCTTAAGAAAGAAACAGTTAATTGAATCGCTTTAAATAATTGTCAATCATAGCAATTTTGCTAAAAATATTATGTTTTTCGATAATCTATCTTCTTATATAGTTGAACAGCATATTAAGAGAGAATCATTTTTGAGCATTCTTTAAATTTCTTTATAAATATTGTTAATATTATTCTGTGATAATTCGTGGAAGAGTACAGGTGTGGGTCAAAATTCGATTGAGAACTGTCGTAAAGTGAATCTTTGAGATATCACTATGAGTTACTCGTAACTTGATTCCAACACGGAAAATCGAAATATTCTGAAAATAACAAAAGAACATCGTCTGCCCTCTTTGTTTTTAGAATAGAGATACTCAAATCTCTTCTATTCCATAGAGGAAATTGTACTTCAATATCATTTCGTGTTCGCAAGTTATTGAAAAATTCAGAAAGTTTGATAATGTATATTTCATAAAGTACGCTGATCCTCAAAAGCTTAAACTATCTATTAAAATATTTTAATAAATTATTTTATTTTTATTGAAATGTAATGGAACATTTTGTTGACTCATCTTAAGAAAAATTATAACTGAAAAATGGATTATTATTTCAATTTGAAATAAATCTTAGATTTTAGTTCAACTAGAAAAGTAAATAGAAGATTCAAATGTATTTGGGTATTTTTTAAAAATTGCAATTAAGCGTTATTGAAAGAGGAAACAGATCAAATATAATTAATATTTGAATGTATTAAATAAATATTCCTTTTATAAAAATGAATATTATGCCACAG